TCAACGGCTCGGACCCGCGCAGCCTCGTGCTGCAGCTCTGCGACCTGCTGTCGGGGCTGCGCGTGCACGGCGTCGTCTTCGAGGACGACTCGCGCGCGCCCGCCGTCGCGCCCATCCTCGACTTCCTGTCGGCGCAGACCTCGCTGCCCATCGTGGCCGTGCACGGCGGCGCCGCGCTCGTGCTCACGCCCAAGGTGCGCGCGACCTGCGGGGGGGGGGGGGGCCTTGGAGGGGCGGGGTCAGCCCTGAGGGTCAGCGTCTGGGACGGGGTGGGGCCAGGCGGTAGGGGTCCGGTCTAGGTAAGGGGCGGGGCTGAGTTAGAGGGGCGTGGTCTCTAGGATGAGCGGGGTCTGCCGGGGGGCTCACCCAGGAACTGAGCCTGAGAGAGGCCAGTCATGGATGATCAGGGTCTGGGGAGGGTTGAGGGTCTGTGGGAGAGGTGAGTCAGGGGAGGGGGTGGGATCTGGGAAAGAGGCGGGGCCGGCCAGCGAAGGGCAGGGACTGGGAACGAAAAGGGTATAGCCTGAGATGGCAAGATCTGAGGGAGGAGTGGAATCTAGGCTCAGCAAGGGAGAGTCAGTTAGAAAGCAGTGGGGGTTCAGAAAGGGGTGAAATCATTAGAGGAGGCGGGAGCCAGGAAGGCAAGGACAAAGACCGGGAAAGCGGGGTATCAGGTGCCGAAGGACTGGGTCTGGGGAGGGGCTTGGCCAGCTGAGTATGGAACCGAGCCATTCGGGAAGGGAGTATAAGAAGGGGAGGAGTCATTAGTGAGAGGTGAGCTGGGGAGGGGTAGAACTAGGCAGCAAGGAAGTGGGCTTTAGGGCGAGGCCAGTCAGGGACCGGATGAGTTAGGGAAGGGGCTAGGCAGGAAACCCGGCCTATGCTCTGTACTAAAGGGGCGGGGTCTAGAGAGGAAGATGGTCCCGGGAGTGGGGTTTGGGCAGGGGCACACCCAGATGTAAAGTGTGGAGAGCGAGAATCCAGAGGGTGGGCCTGGGATGAGGAAGACCCACCGTAGAGGCAGGCTCAGCCAATGAGAGGTCAAAGCCAGGAGCCTGCAGGGGAGTAGGGGCAGAGGCTGGCGCTGGCTGAGGCCTGCCTCCCGAGGGCTCAGGAGGGGCCAGCTGGAGTGGACTTCTGTTAGCTAAAGGGCAGAATTGGACCAAGCCTGGTGTGCGACTGAGAAGAAGAGGTCAACTAAGACGAGGTGCCTGAGGAGGGGCGGGGCCTAATCAGGGGTGGAGCCTGTGGAATAGAGCAGGGACTCGACAGAGGTTGGGGCCACCTGAGTGGGTGGAGCCTAAGTCTCCACCAATTCCCAGCTGTGAGGGCCGGTGGCTTTGTGACCAGATCACCATTGCATGCTGGGACTCGTAGTTCTCTCCTGTCCAGAGCATTCTGGGAAGGGCCTCTGTCCAGCTTGCTGCTTCCCTTTGGCATGAGGTTGTCCCGAGATTTGTAGGCAGATCACCTGCGAGGTGAATGTATTACTTCCTGGCTGCCACCTCCATGGCATATGGAGTGACGCTGTCCCTCTTGCCACACTGCTGCTGAGAAGTGTGGGCTGCTCTGTTTATTGTCCGCTGGACACTGCGGCCCGCTCAGTGTACACCCATTGTCTTCTGGGAAAGGTAGTCCTCTCAGTGTCTCTGGGCGGAAGAAAGAGTGGTGCTCACAGCTCCGTCTGTGCCCCCATTGAATCCTGGGAATGTGGTCCCCTCAGCACACCTCCACCTGCCAAGGGTGAGGTCCTCTCAGGGTTCTCATTGCATGCTGGGAGCATCCCCTGCGCATATAACCACAGGCACACGCCTAGGGAGAAAGTCCACTTACTCTTCTCATGGCATTACTGGAAGATTTATTGAGGGCTGATTCTGTGCCAAGGCTGTTTTAGGTTCTGGGGAATGCAGTTGTGAAAGGAAAAATAATAATAATAAACGACAAGGTCCCAGCTTTTGTGGAGCTTGCGTTCTAATGGCGAGAGAGACAAAATAAAGAACAGTGAAATCTGTCCTGGAAGAAAGGTAATGGCCAAGGGTGGGGCGTCAATAGATGGCAGTCAGGGGAGGCCTCCCTGAGAAGGTGGCGACTAAGCTGGACCTGGGGACTGAGGAGACACAGGTCCAGCATGGAGAAGCTGGGGAAAGTGTCCCCAGGAGAGACCACAGCGAAGGGCAAAGCCCCTGAGCCCAGAAGGAACTTGATGTGTTTGAGGAAGAACAAAGAGGTGGGGGGCCGGAGATGAGGTGAGAGGGGCAATAGGGGCCAGTTCATGCAGGGCCTTGTGGGCCACAGAAAGGACTTTGGCTTTGACTGTAAGGTAGAATCATTGGACGGTTCTCAACCAAGAAGGGATGCGATCCAATTAATATTTTGAAAAGATCATTCTGACTGCTGTCTGGAGAATGGACTGGAACGTGTAAGAGTGGAAGCAGAGAGGGGGTAGGAAGCTGTTGTACTTGTCTAGGCAAGACACTGGTGACAGGGTTTGTCAGATGAGGGTTGTGACAGGGTTGGTAGTGAGGAGTGGATAACTGGGGTCATGTTTTGAACAGAGAGCCGAGGAGACCTGGAGATGGCCTGGATGTGGGCGTGAGGGGAAGGATTATTTAGCTTTGGGACCTGCGCATCTGGGTGAATAAGGAAAAAAAGACAGGAAACAGGTTTGAGGCAGGGAAAAGATGGAGAATTCTGCTTTTGACATGCTAATTTTGAGATGCCTCTTGGAAATCCAAGGGGAGGTGTTGAGTAGAAAGGGAGGTAGGTTTGTCCGGAGCTTTCAAAGGAGGTGGTGACTAAGGATAGGAGCCATCAACGTATCCAGCGCTGTCCAATAGAACTTTCTGCAATGATGAAGATGATCTATATTTGCTCTGTCCAATATGACGGCCACTAGCCACGTGTGGCTGTTGAGCACTTGACATGTGGTGAGTGCAACCGGGGAAGTAAGTTTTATTTAATTCTAATTAATTTAAATCTGAATAGCCATGGGTGGCTAGCAGCTACCATACTGGGTAGTGAGGGAGACAATATTCAAACCCATGGATCTGGATGAGACCACCAGGGAGTGGGGACAGAGAAGAGAACATTAAGGTACTCCTACATTTAGCATTCTGACTGAGAGGGTCCAGCAAAGGAAACAGAAGGAGGGGCCAGGGAGGTAGGAAGAAAACTAGAGAAGGTCAAGTCCACTCAGGAAAGCTTCTTGCAGTTGGGAGAGACAGTACCTTTAGCACCCTCATTGCATGGTGGAAGATGTAGTCCCTCTCAGTGGATGCTGGGAACTGTAGTTCCCTCACGGCATGCCGGATGTATTCATTATGGTAATGTTAGCTGCTGTAACAGATAAACTCTCACGTCTCCGTGGTTCAACTCAGTAGAAGGTTATTTCTCACGCATATAAAATCCAAACAGGTGTTCCTAATTGGAGGTGGCTTTCCTCCAAGTGGTGACTCAGGGACTCAGGCTCCTCCCTCTTGCGGCTCTGTAATCCCCTAGGACTTCAGAGTTCTCTTCTGGGGGCTCTGCATCTGCCCTCAGCCAGGGAAGAGAGTAGGGTGCATCGGGGAGAGTTCTTATGGATGAGCCTAGAAGAACTCAGTCATATGGCAAAACCTAACCCAGGGCTAGCTCTGTGCTCCAGCAGGAAAAGAAGATGGGTTTGGCGAACAGCTAGTCAATCTGTCATATTGAGAGCTGAGACCCACCAGTGGCCTTATCAGCTGCTGGGAGATGCGGTCCCCTCTTGACCACTGGGAGCTGTGATCCCCTCGTTGACGGCGGAAGGTCACGTATTGACTGCTGGGAGCTGTGGTCTCCACAGGGGGAGGCCTGACATCCTCGTCCCTCCCTCCCTCGCAGGAGAAGGGCTCCACCTTCCTGCAGCTGGGCTCCTCCACAGAGCAGCAGCTTCGGGTCATCTTTGAGGTGCTGGAGGAGTACGACTGGACGTCCTTTGTAGCCGTGACCACGCGTGCCCCCGGCCACCGGGCCTTCCTGTCCTACATCGAGGTGCTGACCGATGGCAGCCTGGTGGGCTGGGAGCACCGTGGGGCGCTGACGCTGGACCCTGGGGCAGGCGAGGCCGTGCTGGGCGCCCAGCTCCGCAGCGTCAGCGCACAGATCCGCCTGCTCTTCTGCGCCCGGGAGGAGGCCGAACCCGTGTTCCGGGCAGCCGAGGAGGCTGGCCTCACTGGGCCTGGCTACGTCTGGTTCATAGTGGGGCCCCAGCTGGCTGGAGGCGGGGGCTCGGGCGCCCCTGGGGAGCCCCTTCTTCTGCCAGGAGGCGCCCCACTGCCTGCCGGGCTGTTTGCAGTGCGCTCGGCTGGCTGGCGGGATGACCTGGCCCGGCGTGTGGCCGCTGGCGTGGCCGTAGTGGCCCGGGGTGCGCAGGCCCTGCTGCGTGACTATGGCTTCCTGCCGGAGCTCGGCCATGACTGTCGCGCCCAGAACCGCACCCACCGAGGGGAAAGTCTACATAGGTGAGTGGAACTGGGGTGGGAGGGCTGTGGAAGGTTCCAGAGCCTGACGACCTTGGGTACTCACGGGCTGAGTGGCCTCAAATCCACTCTTAGAGCTTCAGTTTCCTTTTCTGTAAAATGGGTGTAATTGGGTTTCCTTTCTGGGGTTAAATCAGGTAATTTGGAAAAAGCATCTCAGACACAGTGAGTGTATTACTCTGTTTCATGATTTTAAGATGCACATTTTTTCAGTTTAATGTCTTTAAAATCAAGATGTGTCTTACGAGTGACGGCTCATCATGGTTGAATTGGCAGCGCTTTTTCTTTCTCTGTGGGACATAAAAATAGAGATGCATCTTAGAGTTGACAGCACCTTCGAGTTGATGAAATACCCTAGTTGGGGTATGAGCTGAACCTCAGTAACAAAAAGACCCGACAGTCCGGTGGCCCAAACAAGGTAGAGGTTTGTTCTCCTCTCACTTCACGATCCAGAGATGAGCGGTCCAGGTGATGAGGAGCCTCTGTTGCTCCACGTGATCATTCAGGGACCCAGGACCTCCCACCTTGCTGCTCTGCCGTCTTCTTTCGGCGCAGTCGAAGCTCGGTCAGGGGCACGTCTGAATTCCAGCTCAGGAGAAGGGGGAAAGAGAGGAAATGAACAAGCTATTTGCTTTTGAGCAAGTGCGGTGGAAAGGACAAGTCTTACATCCCGTTGGTGAGAATGTAGTCACGTGGCCAGGGCTGGCTGATTGGTTGTTTACAGCCACGCCCGTGCAGATTGGTTAGACGTCTATTCTGATTGGCTGGTGTTTGTGCGGCACTGATGGTTAGATATTTTGAATGTCACCCCTGCACATGGCCTGGGCTAGCTGCAAGGAAGAATGGGAAATGTCAGCTCTAGATGGGCAGGTGTGTGTCCCGCGTCCATGCTGTTGTTTCGGAAGAGAGGATTGGTGGAAAACAGCATCTCCACCATCTAAAGCTTTGGGAGTAAGAAACTGATGCTTGGGGCCGCCCCGTGGCTTAGCGGTTAACTGCGCGCGCTCCACTACTGGCGACCAGGGTTCGGATCCCAGGCGCACACCCACGCACCGCTTCTCCGGCCACACTGAGGCCTCGTCCCACATACAGCAACTAGAAGGATGTGCAACTATGACGTACAACTATCTGCTGGGGCTTTGTGGAAAGAAAAGGAGGAGGATTGGCAATAGATGTTAGCTCAGAGCTGGTCTTCCTCAGCAAAAAAAGGAGGATTAGCACGGATGTTAGCTCAGGGCTGATTTCCTCACAAAAAAAAAAAAAAGAAAAAAAGAAAGAAACTGATGCTTTTGGGGACAGAACAGTGGAAGGAGAGGCCTGTAATCCTGAAATGAGCCTGGGAAGGGGTGATGGGTGTGGAAGAAAACCTAAGGGAGGAGGATTGAGAACTGGTGAGTTGAGAATCAGGATCCAGGGACAACAGGGTGAGAAAAGCATTCTTCATTCATGAATACTTACTGAGCGCCCGCTAGGAACGAGGGCTCATGCTGGGCGCTGGGAGCATGGAGATGAATAAGACCATGGACTTCTCTTCAAAGAATGTAGGGTCCTGTAGGGGCGGCAGACAGGGATGGGGATAATGACAACGCAGCGTGATGCTTGCAGTGATGGAGGGAGCATGGGTGTTGTGGGAGCGCGGGAGGAGTACTGTCTAAGCCAGGGAATTTTTGGTTGCAAGAAACAGAGTCTCATTCAAGTTTCCTCAGGGAAGAGGGGGTTTATTGGAAAAATAAACATGCACAGAAACCCAGACATCAGGAATTGAGGCCAAGCCTGAGGACCTATTCTTTCATCTCTTTCTGATTCTATCTCTTTCTTACTCTCTCTGCTCCTGTCTCTCTGTGCTCCTCTCTCCCTCTCCCTCTCTCTTTCTCTCCCTCCCTCTCTCTCTCTCTCTCTCTCAAGCTTGCCACTGCCAGAGGCTATCCAATTCTTCTCTTACTACCGCTTACCCAAAATCTCTGCTCTCTCATGACGCTCATCATTTCAGCCCATCCTGTTCCCCACTCATCCCTCCAAATCTCACAGCTAAGGCCTCCCATGAGAGGAATTTTATTGGCCCCAATCAGCCTTCCAAAATAGGCTACACAAGTCATGGGTCAGCCTGTGGAGTCAGGGAGGTTTCCAGGAGGAGGAGATATGCACGCTGAGACCTGAAGGCTGAATTGCTCATTCGTTCGTTCATTCATTCATTCATTCATTGAAAAGCCCTTTATTGAGAGTCTCCTATGTGCCAAGCACTGCTTTCTTACGTAGTGTTGAACAAGGTCTCTGCTCTCACAGAGCCTACGGTCTCATAGGGGAGACAAGCAGTGAACAAGCAAAAAAAGAAAGATGAAAATATCAGCAGGTAATAACCTCTGAGATGAAATTGAAACAGTTGGAATGTGATAAGAAATGCCTAAGGTGCTAGGTTAGGTGGGGTTGTCAGGAAAGGCCTTTCTGAGTAGGTGAAATTTGGAGGTAAAAAATGGATAAAGAGAAGGAGCCAACTATTGGAAGATCTGAGTGAAGAGAAGAGAGAGGGACCAGCTGGTGCAAAGGCCCTGGGGCTGGAACTGCCTGCTTGGGAGGCTGAAACAAAGCCAGTGTGGCTGGCGCACAGTGGGCAAGCAGGAGGGGGTGGGATGAGGGGATGGAGAAAAGCACACAAGGCCCAGCTCATGTAGGGCATTTAGGCCAAGTTGGGGGGTTAGATTTGATTCTAAGAGCGGTTGGGAGTTCACCAGAAATAGAGGGTATTCCACGCAGGAGGAGCAGCATTGTGCAAAGGCCCAGAGGGGAAGAAAACTTGGGCAGGTTGATGGGACCACAATAGCTCAGGGTGAATGAAGGCAGGAGAATTAGGGGTTGCGGGCAAGGAGGCTGGGGAGGTGGACAGGGCCGGGCCACAAGGGCCTTGCACACCAGGCTGAGGGGCTTGGATTTTATTCCAGGACACTGGGGAGCCGTGGGTGGGCTATGAGCAGGGGAGAGGTGGAGTCAGTTTTGAGTGTAGAAAGAGCCCTCTGGGGCAGAGTGGGGAACATACCAGAAGAGAGAGATTGGAGACTGGAGGCCAGGCAGGAGGCTGGGGTAGGGGTCCAGGAGGGCTTCGGGGACAGAGAGGAGGGGATAGGGCAGAGAGATCCCAGAGGCAAGAAGAATGGGGCTTGGGGACTGATGGCCTGGGTGGAAGGAATGAGGGGTGAGGATGGCAGCTGACGGTCTGGCCCTGTGACCAGAGTGATGTGACAGGCAGAGTAGAGGGTGCCATTGCATAGTGAAGATGTCTGTGGGTCCAGAGACCCTCCAGGGGCTTCTCCCAGGGGAAGGGACGCTTGAGCAGAGTCTTGAAGACAAGAATTGATCAGGATGAGAAGGGACAGAATGTGGGTTTTCCAGGCAGAGAGAACGGCATCTACAAGGGCCTGGAGATAGGAAACCACCTGACAGTTTGCATTCAGTGTCAGTGGGGCACAAAAAGGGTTTGGGGTGGAAAGAGTTTGAAGGCAGGAAGGGATCGGAGATGGGGCTGCAGAGGCCAGCAGGGCCAGAACACACAGGGTCTCTAGGGCCTCAAACCCAGGCCGAGGGTCTGGAACCTTGTCCTGGGGGCGCTGGGCAGCGAAGGGAGAGTGCTGAGCAGAGAAGAGGCATATCTAGGTTTTCAAGATCTTGGAGGAGAGATTCCAGCTGGGGGCGGGGGCTGGTCAGTGGAAAGGGGGCTTTCTCTGCCTTCAGCAGCGCAGGCCCAATCCAGGTCCCCACATGTCCCCTCCTTTCCTCCTGGGCAGGTACTTCATGAATATTACCTGGGATAACCGGGATTACTCCTTCAATGAGGATGGCTTCCTGGTGAACCCCTCCCTGGTGGTCATCTCTCTCACCAGAGACAGGACGTGGGAGGTGGTGAGTCCCAGCCCCGACCTCAGGCACGGGAGAGCATCTGGACTCCTGGGTGCTGGGGAAGAGGTTGGGAGGACCCAGACTCCTAGGTCTTGGAAGAGACGGGAGCTGAAGCCCTAGACTCTGGCCTCTGAAGGCAGAAGGGGCTTCTAGGTCCTAGGGGGAGGAGGGAGATGGGGCCCAGGCTCTGAGGAAGGAGGGCCATGAAGGCCAGGACACCCTGGAAGCCTGAATCCCCTTCTCTTGGCCAAGGTGGGCAGCTGGGAACAGCAGACCCTCCACCTCAAGTACCCGCTGTGGTCCCGCTACGGCCGCTTCCTGCAGCCTGTGGATGACACACAGCACCTCACGGTGGCCACGCTGGAGGAGAGACCCTTTGTCATCGTGGAGCCCGCAGACCCCATCAGCGGCACCTGCATCCGAGACTCCGTCCCCTGCCGGAGCCAGCTCAACCACACCCACAGGTGACAGCCCGGGATCCAGGAGCTCCAGCTTCAAAAGCCTTCTCCCTTGAAGCCCAGTAGTCCTGGCCCCAGCCCCCTCCTCCCTTGAGACCCAGGACCCACAAAGCCCTGCAGTTTGGTGACCTTGGACAAGTCACGTGACTCCTTTGAGCCTCGTGTTCCCAGAAAGCGCTAGCCATAGTTTTAGCTGCTGCTTGTCCCTCCCTCCACAAAGCGGGGGGTCCTCAACGTCCCCAAGCCTGCTCGCTCCCCGCAGCCCTCCGCCGGACGCCCCCCGCCCAGAAAAGCGGTGCTGCAAGGGCTTCTGCATCGACATTCTGAAGCGGCTGGCGCAGACCATCGGCTTCAGCTACGACCTCTACCTGGTCACCAACGGCAAGCACGGGAAGAAGATCGACGGCGTCTGGAACGGCATGATCGGGGAGGTGAGGCGGCCGGGACAGGGCGGGCAGTGGCCGGGACAGGTGGGGGCGGGGCATCTTCTGGGCCAGGGGGCGGAGCCAAGAGGCGGGAACGCTGGCCCGAGGGGGCGGGGCCACGAGGGAGAACCCTTGCGCCGGGGGCGTGGCCAAAGGAGGGAACGCCTGGATTGGAAGGGGCGGGGCCACGAGAAGGACCCACGTTGGCGGGGGGCGGGACCAGAAGGAGGGACCTTTGGGGCAGGGGCGGGGTCAGGAGGAGGGACCTCTGGGGCGGAGGAGGCGGGGCTAGGAGGGTGGAACTCCTAGGAGAAGGGGGCGGGGCCGGGAGGATGGAGCCCAAAACCTTCAAAGGGCTTGGTGGGAGAGCAGGATGCGGCCAGGGGCCACCTCTTCCCTCTCCTGTTCCCTGACTCTCACCTCCACCTTTCCTGCCCCACTCTGCGTCCCCCTCACCCACCCACCACCCTCCTAGCCCTCTCTGTCACCCTGTCTCTGGTCTCCCAGGGCCTTCGGCCGGTGCGCCTGAGCCAGCCTGGTTCCCTCACCCCCTCCTCACCCTCCCCCAGGTGTTCTACCAGCGCGCGGACATGGCCATCGGCTCCCTCACCATCAACGAGGAGCGGTCCGAGATCGTGGACTTCTCCGTCCCCTTCGTGGAGACGGGCATCAGCGTCATGGTGGCGCGCAGCAATGGCACCGTGTCCCCCTCAGCCTTCCTTGGTGAGCCTGGGCCCTGGATTGGCAAGGCTGGGGATCTGTGTGCCAATTCCCATCCTGGTATTGCCTCTACCAGCTGTGTGAGTCCAGTGAAGTGGCGTCACTTCTGAGCCTCAATTTCCTAATCTGTAAAATGGGAGAATTTTCGCTACCAGAAGCATTTTTACCATGAAGCTAAGGAAGCTTGGCCAGCCCTTGTGGTCTAGTGGTTAACATTTGGGGCTCTCACCCCACAGCTGGGAACCACATCAGGGAACCACACCACCTGTCTGTCTGTTGGTTGTCATACTGCAGTGGCTGCATGTTGCTGAAAGCTATGCCACTGGGATTTCAAATACCAGCAGGGTCAGCCATGGTGGACAGGTTTCAGCGGAGCTTCCAGACTAAGACAGACTAGGAAGAAGGACCTGGCCACACACTTCTGAAAAAATTGGCCATGAAACCCTGTGGATAGCAGCAGAGCATTGTCTGATACAGTGCTGCAAGGGAAGGGGATGGCGCAAAAAGACCAGGCAGGGTTCCACTCTGCTGTCCACAGGGTCGCTAGGAGTCGGAATCAACGCGAGGGCACTAACAACAAGGAAGCCTGAGCTTCAGGAGCCTTCTCTTACACATCCTCTTGGCCCTGTACCTGGTCTTCTATTCATAATTTTGTATTCTTTTTTCTTAAAGAGAACCCTCCAAATTGTATACGCTTGAGGCTCCACTAACCCTGTGTCTTCCACTGTATATAAGTATGAGATTAAGAAGAGAGATTAGCACAGGCCTGGCACTTGGTAATTCACCCATCAACAGTGTTTACTGAGCACCTACTGTGTGCCAGGCTCTGAGCCACACACCGATCCCTGTCCTCTAAGAGCTCTTGGCCTCATGGGGGAGACAAAAAATAAACTCTCAAAGGGGTCCATGACAAGATCAGATGGTGGTCAGGGCCTCGAGACGTTAAGCCAGGGTGAAGAGAGAGAGAGGAGTAGGACTGGTGCTGCCGTGGGTGGGGAGGAGGCCTCTATGAGGAGGTGACCTGGTCCTGGGTAGCTCTGGCTGGAAAAGCTTTCCAGGCAGAGGGAACAGCAAAGGCAAAGGCCCCAAGGTGGGAATATGCGTGGAGTATTTGTGAAATAGCGGGAGGCCTCTGTGGCTGGAGGGGAGCAGCTAGTGAGAGTAACGGAAGGTGAGGGTGGGGAGGGAACAGGGCAGATCACGCAGGGCCTTGGATGCAATGGCAGGAAGGTTGAGTTTTACTTTTCTTGCAACGGCAAGGGTTTTAACTCCAGATGGTGGTGTGGGGATATAAATCAGATTTAGGCTTTTAAAATACCCCACTGGCGGCTCGTGGGGCAGGGGCCTGTGAGGAGGCTACTGCAGAGGTCCGTGCAAAGAGGACGGGGTGTGGAATAAGAAGACGGCAGTGAGGGTGAGACAAGTAGCCAGGCTTGGGATGTGGTTGGGAAGCTGACACCTGGACGGGTTGGTGGCTTTGACGGGGCTTGGACGAGGATAGAGACCTCATTTACTGAGCTTGGAGAAGACAGAAGGAGAAGTGTCCATCGGGCCAAGGACAGCAGTTCTGTCAGGTCCCTCTTGCTCTCTGAAGTCTGGCAAATCTCCTGGGAGGGGGAGGGGCTGGGAGAAGGGACATCCCTTCCTTTGCATTTGATTTTCTGTAGATGTCCCCCAACAATGTCTCTTGTGGCCTCTGCTTTGCACCAAAGTCTCTGCAGGGCACTCTGAGATGCACCACGTGGGGCCCCTGCCTTCTGCAGGGGAGTGACAAGGTCATATTTATGCCCCATCACGCTGCCCAGTGGAAGCGACAGGCGTGTCCCCAGATGCCGCAGTGACAGTCCAGGGTGGTGACAGGGGCAGTCCTGGCTGCTTGCACTTGGCTCGGGGAGGTCAAATAACCCAGTACGAATCTCAAGGAAATGGTGATGTGGGGTCATTATCAATGAACTCCTGGAGACAGTGTGAGGAAGGAACATATGAGTGGGAGTTTGTCTGATGGACAGGTCAGGGTGGCACCTTTGGCAGGGAGCTGTGGAGACAGGGGCAGAGACAGTGTGGCTCGATCAGGGAACTGTGAGTTCTGAGTGGTTAAAGCAATGGGATCTTGAAAGACTGATCAGGCTGGAGAGGGAGATGGAAGTAAGGCTGAGGGTCCTGGGGGCGCTGGGGAGCCACAGAGGCTGTGAGCAGGGGAGAAGCCAGGTCATCTCCGGGCATAGAAAGAGCCTCTAGGGCCACGCGGGGGACAGGCTGGAGAGTGGACACTGGGGAGATGGTCCAGGGGAGAGGATGAGGCCTGAGCCGGGTTGGCCAGGAGAAGGGAGAGGAAAGACTGAAGTTGGGGGGAAAGGGGGACAGGAGCATGGGGCTGGGAACTGACAGACTATGGCTAGTAAGGGAGAGAGAGAGGAAGGGGGTGAGGATGGCAAATGGGGAGGGGGTTGGGGTGTGACTGGACGGATGGTGGGGCTCCCAGGATGGGGAGCCTGGGAGTTGATGCTGGGCTCTGGGTGGGACATGAATGGCCTGGGGGAGGGGTGTGGACAGGGGGAGATGGAGACTCGGGTCTGGGGTTCAGGAAGCATATTTAGGAGACAGTTTCTATTTGGTGGCTGAACCACAGAAATAGTTGAGATGGCTGTCTTTGAGAGAGACTGTCTCCCAGGGGTCTGGGTGGGCAATGAGGCTGTCCCCGAGATGGGGAACCTGGGAAGGGGACAGAGTAGGATGGGGTCACATCCGGGCTGCCCCTTGTTCACATGTCTGTGGGCCCCCCCAATCATTTGCTTGGCTGAGACATGACCACACACCCCTTGCCCCCAGAACCCTACAGCCCCGCCGTGTGGGTGATGATGTTCGTCATGTGCCTCACTGTGGTCGCCGTCACTGTTTTCATCTTCGAGTACCTCAGTCCCGTCGGCTACAACCGCAGCCTGGCCACGGGCAAACGTGAGTCCCCTTCCTCCGTCACCCTACCTCAGAGCCCCCGGACCACAGATAGAACTACATTTCCCAGCAGCCCCTGGGGCAGAGCTACAGCCTCTTGAGGTGCCAGAGGCCTCGGGGACCACTGGGAATTGTAGTTCTTTCTGCTCCCTCATCGAGCAGAAGGGATTTGGGGTCCATGTCCCCCTCCTGGCCCCCTGCAGGCCCTGGAGGCTCAACCTTCACCATTGGGAAATCCATCTGGCTGCTCTGGGCCCTGGTGTTCAATAACTCGGTGCCCGTGGAGAACCCCCGGGGGACCACCAGCAAAATCATGGTGCTGGTGTGGGCCTTCTTCGCCGTCATCTTCCTCGCCAGCTACACAGCCAACCTGGCCGCCTTCATGATCCAGGAGGAGTACGTGGACACCGTGTCTGGGCTCAGTGACCGAAAGGTGTGTGTGTGTGGGATGGGGGGGTGTTGGGGGGAAGGGGGAGGTGGCTGGGTTGGAGGTCACAGCACTTAGCATGTGGGAGGTCAGAGGGGGATTCCTGGGGGTCTCCTCCCGGAAAGAGTTCCAGAATGGTAGAATGGAATATTCTGGAGGAGAAAGGTTATGTTTCACAATGAACTATTTAAATATTCCCAGGGAAGAGAGTGGCCCCAAATGTTCTCGAGGCAGTAGTGGGATATTCTAGACCAGTGCTTCTCTCAAACTGTGATGAAGGGCTAATTTTGGAAACTTCGAATCCAGTGGAGACCAATGCTTTTGTAAAATACAATAGAAATGAACTAGAAAAGTAAAATAAAATTTAAAACCAGGACATGCAAAATTCAAACCCAAATTTTTATTTATTAGGTTCAACAGACATAAAATTATTCTGTCCGAATTGCTCTAAACGCTCGCTCTCTTGATTTGTGACCTCATGATGGATCACAGTTTGTTCAGGGCCTGGTGGTCTGCAGGGCACACTCTGAGACTAAAGTAGTTAAGTGGGTGTCGTGACCCATTAGAAGGTTGAGAAACCTGGAGTCACTGGACTGCAACAAGCATTGTTTTAAATGCAATGGAATAGAATAGAATACAAATTATGTTTGACTGCATCTTATGTAATCAGGGTGAACATGGTTTTATGAAACTTTTGTTTTAGTCATATGCACAGAATATTGAGCCAGCATACACCTGCCTGGCTACGTCTGTTGTTAAAATAGTGAATCTGAAAAGATTGGGAAATAGCAACTACCCCCATTCGCTGCCTTGCCAGCCTTTGTCCCTGGGACCTCCCATGATCCAGCAAGTTAAGAGTTAATGCCTGGCATGTCAGAGACCTCAGGGACCATTTCTGGAGCTGTGTTGCCAGTGTCTATTCTGCTGGGACCATGATCAGGCTATGCTGGGTGTTAAATATTTCAATATTACTCCTGATTATGTATGCATATGTGTGTATCTGCGGATGTACATGCTGGGCGAAGAATAGTGTTTCCTACTGTGAGTCACAGTGAGCAAGTTTGAGAAACACTTCTGGACTGGGGTCTCTGCCAGTTGGCGGGTGTTCCCCAGAATGGAGCGCCTGGTTGAGGACATCCTCGACCCAGATGCCCCCAGAGGGGGCGCCCTCATGACTCCTCATTCTGCCCCAGTTCCAGCGGCCCCAGGAGCAGTACCCGCCCCTGAAGTTCGGGACGGTGCCCAACGGGTCCACGGAGAAGAACATCCGTAGCAACTACCCCGACATGCATAGCTACATGGTGCGCTACAACCAGCCCCGCGTAGAGGAAGCGCTCACTCAGCTCAAGGCAGGGTCAGCGCAGACTCGGGCCGGGGGGGCGGGGGGCCGCTGGGGGCCCTGAGGATGCTCCGAGGTGGCGAGGGGTCAAGGGTCATTCATCAGCCTCAGAGGTCAGCCCGGGGTGGGTCAGCTTGGAGGGCAGAGGGTGGGAATGAACTACTCCTTCCAGGAGTAGGATCCTTGTGATGTTTTCAGGGATCCAGTAGTTACAGATTCTGAGGTCAGACTGCCAGGGTTCAAATCCTGGCTTTGTCCCTTCTTGGCTGTGTGACCTTGGGCAAGTTATTCAACCTCTCTGAACCTCCGTTTCCTCCTTTGTAAAATGAGGATAAAAGGACTCACCTCATAAGGTTGTTATAAGAATTATCACAGTTATTATTATTAGTTAATATATTATTCATAGTTATTATTTTTAGTCCATCCATGCAAAACACTTAGAACAGTGCCTGGCACACTATAGGTGTTTGCTGCTATCATTATTATTAGATTCGAACTCACTGGAATCAATACTTGGATTATGTTGTTTTTTATTTTTTTTAACATCAGTTTCCCAAATTATAAGGACAAAGTTAAGTTCTGGTCCCCAAGCACAGTCCATGGTTACAGCAAAGCTGAGCACAGTGACTCTCTCCTAGTCCCTCGCTGATTTAGTCATTCAGCTTGCATTTATTATCTCAGCCCCCACTCTAGGCCAGGCTGTGAATAAATAGACCATAGTTCCTGCCACAGGGAGCTTATGGTCTAGAGGTGGGAAATGAACAATAAATATGCAGGCAGAAAAATCAGCACGATCATTTTGGAAAGTGACGGTGAGCTAGAGCTGGGGTCTGTTCACCAGGGTGTTTGGGGCAGGCCTCTCCAAGGACGTGACTTACACAGAGCCCTGAAGGAGGTGAGGGAGCTAGCCACGTGGACTTATGGAGGCAGAGCCTTGCAGGCAGAGGGCACAGGGTCAGCAAAGGGCCTGAGCCGGCGTGGTCTTGCTTATTGGAGGAACAGCAAGGCCAATGTGGCTGAAGGGCAGAGAGCTGGTTAGAGGGTAGATGAGAGTAGGACACAGGGTGTGACCCGTGAGGCCAAGGTCAGGGCTGGGTTTTATTGGAAGGGCAGTGAGAAGCCACGGGGAGGCGGGACGGTAAGTAAGGGAGGGGTGCAATCTGATTTCTGTTTGTAAATGCCCCCCTCCGGCTGACATGTGGAGAACGGATGGGGTCAGGTGTAAGTGGGGCCATCATGTGCTCTAGATCACCTTCCCCAAGGCCCACCCTTTGCTGGCCCCTCAAGTAGCCACTCGTAACCAGATCTTTTTTACCCCTCTGTCTTGATTAGAATTGTTGGGCTGCAAGAAAAGAAACCCAATCAATCTGGTGTAAATAAAATGGTTGGGTAAGCATAAGAATACAGTAGAATCTCTCAGAACCAGTTGCAGAAGGTAAAGCCGGGTTTTGTGGACATGTGAAAGGCATTTATTCATTTAAAAAATTTTTAAAGAGTACCAACTCTGTGCTGGGCACAGTTCCTGCACTGGATATCAGTAGTCAACAAAATAGGTAAGTTTCCTGGATCCGTTAGGAGTGCCTAAACAGAGGTTTCTTTCTCTCTCACAATAAGAAGTCCAGGGCTGGCATGATAGCTAAAAGATACTATCAACAATCCTAACTCTTCCCATATATTTGTTCTGCCAACCTTGGAGCAGAGACCTTCATGCTCATTTTGTTTTTGTTTTTGTTTTCTTTTTTTAAAGATTTTATTTATTTTTTTATTTTTTCCCCCCAAAGCCCCAGTAGATAGTTGTATGTCATAGCTGCACATCCTTCTAGTTGCTGTATGTGGGACTCGGCCTCAGGATGGACGGAGAAGTGGTGCCTCAATGCGCACCCGGGATCCGAACCCGGGTCACCAGCATTGCAGCGCGCGCACTTAACCACCAAGCCACAGGGCCGGCCCTTCATGCTCATTTTGGTTGCCTCATGGTCACAAGATAGCTGCTGCAACTCCATGGAACACGTCTCAGTTCCAGACAAGGAGGAGGAGGAAGGGTACAAGAGTGGAAGATTTTCTCCTGGCACGGCCTTGCCTTTTTATTGGGGAAAATATGCCTTTCTCAGGGACTTAGAGCTATTTCTTAGAATGTGTCAGATGGCCACTCCTAGCTGCAGGGGAAGCTGCGAAATTGTGCACCTTAGCCTTCCAGCCTCTGTTGTGGAAAATGGCAAAGAAAGAGGTTGTAAATGGAGATTGTGGGAGGCAAGCTGTCTGCCAGAGTCCTGCCCTTGGGGAGTTTGTATCTTGCCACCCAGAAGCTTCTCTCTTGCACCATTCCTTCTCCAGTGCTCTATCTCCTCTCTCTCAATTTCTGGGGGCCACACAGTCTCTTGTCCCCCATCTCTCCATGCTTTCCCTGTAAGCCTCTCATTTTGATCCTGAGAATGTCAGCAGTTTCTTATCAGTCGCCGCTTCTTTCTCTCGCCTCCTCTAACTGCTCTCCTCTCTGCCCCACTTCACCCCTTCAGGGAATTGCCTCTTCTTCACCCTCCACCCCTGAAGCACCATTAACATGACGTCAGGCTTTTCTTTTTTAATTGAGGCTTTGGGCAGGCCCACAGCTAACGTTTGCAGGCCCAGCACAAGAGTACAAATGAAGGCTCAAATACCATGTGTCTAATGATTTAGACTTTGTAAATCAAGCCAGGAACCCATTCCATATGGGGGGGTCCTCCTGTCTTGACAAATATACCTTAACAAACAGAGAGGTTAATAAGTTCAAGCTGAGAATTCTCCGAGTTCCATGGGAGAACCTGACTCCTTGTCTTCCCACCTGAATCTGTCTCCTGGCCTCTTCCAGCTTAAGACCGCCTGCCTCCCTTGGCTCATGGCCCTGAATCCCTCAAACTCGGCTTGCATTGTCACATCTCCTTCTCTGACTGACCCTCCCCCCTCCCTCCTATAAGGACCCTGTGATTACACTGGCACCACCCGGATAATCCAGGATCATCTCCCCATCCCAAGATCCTTAACTTAATCACATCTGCAAAGTCTCTTTTTGGAGGTAACATATTCACAGCTTCCAGGGATTAGTGTGTGGATGTCTTTGGGGGGCCATTATTCTGTCTACCACAGCTTCCCAGAGCATCATCTCCAAGGGAGGTGCGGATTCTGGGTGGGCACAGGGACTCCCCTCCCTGGGGGTGGGGGAGTCCTCAAAAGCAGGGGCTCAGAGCCGCACTCCATTGCTGGAGGTCTCAGGTGCGTATTGAGTTTGGAGAATAATGGGTAGAGGTGTTAGGACACAGCACAGAGCAGGAAAAATAAAAATTTTAAATTGTGCATCCATCTATTCATTCATTCTTTCAACAAGTATATCAATGGCCTTTAATGTGTTAGGCTCTGTTCCAGATGCCTAAGTCCCCGTTTCCTTGAAGCTTCCATTCTAGTGGGGGGAGGCAGAAAACACTCAGATATTATAAATGTAATATCCCTTCAAGTCTCTCAGATCTTAGGCGTCTCCGGCCATCTTTCTCCACAGCTCTCTTCTTCCATGTTTCTCCCCATCTGCTTCCCTTCTCTCTAGAGACCGGTTTTCCATCTCTTCCCGTATAATGACGGGGTTCTGGTGTCCCCCATGGCCTGGGAGTTCCTAACAGTACCCTGGGGGTGCATAACACCACCAGTTTTAGAACCAAATGGTCCTGGGTTTGAATGGGAGCTAGACCCCTTACTTGCTGGGGCGAGTCAGTTCAGTTCCTGGCCCTTAATTTTCGCCTCCATAATATGGGGTCAACAACCCCACCTGCTATAAAGCGCCTCTGGGAGACGGAACGTCAGGAGCCGAGGCTCCTCTCTATCTTCCCTTCTCTTCCACTCAAGGGCCCCTGGCTCTCCCCTCAGTCCCTCTGCACGTACAGATCTTGGTTTCAGCCGTGCCCGCAAATGCCGTCTGGCCCCCAGTGTCCACGCAACCTTTCAGCTCCAAGGTCCAGTCTGAGCCTTCGCAGGCCTAGGTTCAATTTCACCAGCGAGAATCCGATTGGTCCAGCTGGGGTCAGGTGTCCATGCCCGGGCCAATCAGCGAGGTCAGGGTGGGGCCTGATCATGTGGTTCCCCGGCGGCCACTTCCGTACTCCACGCAGGTTCTCTAGGATGCGCGGGAACAGGTGGGCGAGAAAAACCTTGAGCTTGTTTCCAGAACATCCTTCTTCCACTGGCTTGCTGCCTTTCCTCCAGCTGCGAAGCCTGGTGGACCCTGAGCCCCCTTCCCAGGGCCCCCCCCTCTGGAGGACACCCCCTTTCTCAGTGCCTGGCCCCCTTCGCCTTCAGCTTCCCAAGCCTCTTAAGGGAAGTTTCCCCTTCCCAAATCTCTTTCCCCCTCTCTTTCCAGGTTTTGTGTGTCACACTTGCTTATTGTGAAAAATAATGAGACAAAAAGAGAGGATCTTTCCCGTTTTCCTTGTTATTCATTGTTAATGGTTCCAGGCGTTTCCTCCAGCCTTTTTTCAGAGCAGAGCTGGGGAGCCAAGTTTGTAATTTATTTTTTTTCTCTCTTTTTTTTAAAATTTTATTTATTTATTTTCTCCCCCAAAGCCCCAGTAGACAGTTGTATGTCATAGCTGCACATCCTCTAGTTGCTGTATGTGGGACACGGCCTCAGCATGGCTGGAGAAGCGGTGCGTTGGTGTGGGCCCGGGATTCGAACCCGGGCCGCCAGCAGCGGAGCGCGCGCACTCAACCGCTAAGCCACGGGGCCAGCCCCCCCAAGTTTGTAATTTAAATTTTTCTAGTAGCCACATTAAAAGAAACAGACGATATTAATTTTAATGATTTATTTTATTTACCCCAATATCTCTAATACATTATCATTTCAATAGGTAATATAAAAATTAATGAGATGCTTAACTTTTTTTTTTTGGTACTTTGAGTGTATGTTACACTCACAGGGTATCTCAATTCGGACCTGCCACATTTCAAGAGCGCAGAAGCCGCATCTGGCTAGTGGTTGTTATTCCGGACAGTGT